GAAATTGTTTTGTTTTATTATTGATGTCATACTCAAATATGCATTTATATAAAAATGATTTTTCTTTCTTTTTCAAACCACTAATATTCAGCAAATAACACATTCTCGTCCAACACTAAATCTCTCTCCTCTTCGTCTCTCTCATTCTCTCATTTGTTCTTGAATTTCAATCTTCAACAAAATATTATATTTTCTTCCTATCTGATTTATTCTTTCCATCAAAGATTTAGTTTGATCCTCATGGGCTCAACCTGGTGCTGCTCTCGCCATCCAGATACCACCGAAAGTACCACGAGCTATACCGGCGACCGGAGCTGGCCAACCGGCGACCGGAGCTGGCCAACCGGCGACAACAAGTTTCTATCGGATACAAGCACGTTCTCCGTGAAGGAGCAAGAGCATCAGCTTAAGGCAGCCAGATTGGAGGAACAAAGACTTGGCCGTGAAGCCGAAAAAGTCAACACATGGGTCAAACATGAATCAGCCCGATTCGACAATCGTCCATAGTTGAACCATTGCTTTGACCAAGCCTTCCTATATTCTTTTTAAACCGTTTTTTTTTTTTTACTAAAGTTAAACTGTCAAAACAAACGCTTATGCATATATACGAAACACAGACTAAAAATTAGTGTACAAGAACACAAGTAAATTTTCATATAGTACACGGCAAGTAATTTTTTTGTACACTAATGTTTGAACGGTTGTGTTCTTTGAATGAATTGGTTGTGTGTTATTGTACACTGATGTAGTAAATGGGCCAAATGGCTAAGGCTCAAATCATTCATTCAAAGAACACAACCGATCAAACCATATCTTTAAATCAAAGTATAACTCTAAATTTTCTTACTCTTCACAATAACATCAATGCAACAAATATAAATACTAGAGACAACACTTGCTGCAACGTACCAATCCATTCTCGTTGCACCCACTGCATCTCTTAAACACATCTTCTTGTTCCTCAAACACTTTGGTACTACCGCCACAACTAGTACACGGCACAAACCTTGCATCTCCGCAGCTTTCGCAAGCTCCCACGGATTCACAAACAGGAAACCCTTTTAACATCTCTCCCAATTCGCCTCCATCGTTGAGTATCTTGATCTCCTCGATTCCACCAACGTGGACGCCTCTTATAAACACCTGAGGCAAACAAACCGGTTTCTCTTCTCCGATTGCATTCTGTAGCTCTTTTCTGTATTTGGAGTCCATTGAGATGTCGCGTTCTTCGACCGCAACTTGAAACCCTCTCAGTATCGTTCTTACGAAACAGCAATCCTCATAAGTCTTTCGAATTCCTCTGAGGCTAGTGAAGTACAGTACTATCTCGTTCTTGTTGTCCTCTGTTTCTGGCAATCTTGGTTTCTCTTGCTCCTCCAAAGCCTGAGAAGTCAGTGGAGATTCTGGCAATCTGATTACAGCCGATTGATTTGAGTGGCTGCAAGAGACTGGTTTCGTGTTTTTGCCTAATCGTTTGGAAGACAATGCTTTCTTGTAAGATGAGATGATATTAGGATCTAAATCAGAGAGAAACGATTCTTCAGACAAATGCTTCCACAGAGGCTGCTTAGGTTTAGAAGGCAGTGGAATCCAATCTTCATCGTCTTCTTCGATTCTCACGATTTCGTAAGAATCGTCGAATTTCAACGCAGACCCATTGATACTCACGTCACGGTTCGCACTGGGTTTAGAGAAAGAATCCAGATTTACGGCGGAATTACGCTTACCGTTAACGCAAATTGCCGAATCATATTCGTCGTCGTCGTCTTCGAGACCGTTCATGAGTTCCCATGTGTTGATCACTGAATCAGGAGACAACGAGTCGCGTGACTCCTCTGTTTCGGGCGTCTTCTTATTATTCTTCCCTGAAATGGAGATATGAGGCAATGTCTTGCTGTCGGAGGCCCCGTCGAGATCGACGACTGTAAGAGAGCCGTAAGTGGTGGAAGTGAGGGAGACGAGGTGGTGCGTATCGCCTTTTTTAGCCGGTGGATGATGAATCGACGGCATGGGAAAGGAGAATGCTCTCGCGACCGTCGTAGACGACGACGACGGGAATTGAGAGATCAATTTCGTCTCCGAAGGTGAATTTGAAACAGAACGAGACAGATTAGAAGAAGGAGAAGAAGAAGAAGAAGCGGTTTTAGAAGCAGAGGAACCCATAATTCTGAAGCAGAGCAGAGAAAAGAAGCATAAACGGCGTCGGTGTTTTTTTAGCTTCTCACACTCTTTTCTGGGTTTCTTGTGCTTTTCCTTTGTCGGAGAATATAAGAGAGAAAGAGAGAGAGAGAAAACAGGTGGAAAGGAGCTGTCTAGGTGAGTTGAGGTGGAAGATGGTGAAACACTAAAGAAGACGATGATAGTGGTGTTGATTTTCCGATATCAAGTTTGATTTTACTGGAGAAGTAAGGAAACTATAAATTTGATCCTGATTTTTAGAGCCTAATTTCAGAAATCAAAACACAGTAATCCGTGTTGCAAAAAGTAAAATGTCAAGATCCTTAAAAACTGCGTTATTTCTAAATTTGAACTTAAGCCAAAGACTTCCACTAAAATGTTTTTTTTTATGGAAAACAAGACAACATTGTACTCCTACACAAAACTATATATAAAAACTTACAAAAGAAATAAAGAATTTTGACAAAATTTGAAAATAAGAATAGAGTTACGGAATAACGAAAATCTGTTTATTCAACATTATAGTTCTAGACAGGAGTGATACTCTGCTAGTTGTATTTCTAATTAGGATCAAGCTTAACAGAAATGAAACAATATACAGTAAGTATTAAAAATTCAAAATGTAAAACACCGATTATGGAAAAATTAGAATGAAGTTTACGTGTCTGACGAATTGAGAGACCCGTACTGATATTTAATGTTATAGAGAATAAATACGAAACTGCATTGCACACGGCACACTCATTGAGGATTCCTTTGGTGCTTTTTCCTTTTCAAAAGAGGAGCAAAATTATTATTATTAAATTTAAAATAGAATAAAAAGAAAAGCAAGATGGGCAAAAGAAGAAACTCGATCTGTTTTTTTCAATAAAAAAATTAAAAATAAAGAAAACTTAATAACACATCCGTAAAGAAAGATTCCCAATATTTAGAATACTATTTCAAGCTTTAACTTGTGGCTGATATGATAACCTATGTAAAAATGTGATATTGGTTGCTTTATTTCTGACATTAACTCGTTACAAGTGTACTTAATTCCTTTAGTATCTGAATGATCCTCTACCAAAATCAAAAAACAGCTTAATCACGCTTTGAAGCAAACCAGTTTGTAAATAAGACCACAAAATAAGCATTAAAGTCAAGAAATTCCATAACTATATACCAAAAGCCCAACATTATTCTCTTAAATCATTAGAAACACACACACAAACGAAAACGTATTACATACATATATATATCAATTCCACTTTACATCGAGCATACAAATGACCCTCTCTACATATAAAAACCCAGACTTTTACCAAAAAAGAAAAGAACGAGTTCTCGAAAAACAGGGAAAGGAGATCGTGACAACGCAAAAGGAAAGAATGTAGAATCTTGAATCGATCATCCAACGTGGAAAGAGCCAATTTCTCGGTTTCTAAGAGAACCGGCGATTTCGTCGGCGATAGACAAACAGGTGAAAATCCAGCCGCTCAGAGCAAACCACACCGTTTTCGTAAGATGCATTGCCATTTCCAAAGGCATTGCCATTATTATAGGCTCTCTTTTTTTTTCACTCTTAGTCTCTCGAGCAAAATTGATTTGGCTGCAGAGAAAAAACCATTGGAAACTGGAAGATCCAGTGAATGGTGTTTGGGAAAGAAATATGAATGAATTATTATTCCACACGTGCCACACGCGGGAAGATCTTTTAGCCAATAATACGTCTCCAAGTGTTATTACTTTTCACCAGCCGCGTCTCTTTCTGGCCAGCTAGGAGAGCGTTAGGCGACACGTCAGTGTTGGTTCGACCAATAAATTCGAGCCTTACAAGATTTAAGATCCGACCCGAACATTTTTTTTTATCAACCCGACAAAAAGTCCTGCATATTATATAAATTAATTTAGAATACCAAAAATAAAATGTCAGATTTATTAGTATTTTATTTTTTTGAACTTTTTAAATGTCAAATTTATAAAAGCAAACAGAATACAATGTCCAATTATATGGGAGTACTTAGATGAATGACATTTTAAAATTAAAACTATAATATTCGTAACTTTTGATAATGTCAAAATACAATGTCCAATTAACTGATCTTATGCATTTTCCCTAACTTTAAATAATTTTAGACTTGTTCACAAGAAAGCAGAAGATGATTTCAAGAGGATCTGGAACCTTAGGTTTCACTCTCTTTCGCTCTTTATTTCATTTGCTAAACCTCTGATTATTATAGTATAAACCTCACGATTTGGATCATATTAAAAAAAACTCAATCTGGATTTGCTAGAAACATACGATCTTGCGTTCGATAGACGATATAACACTTTACATCTTATGTGTTATGGTTAATTACACTTTTGTGGCGTCTGCTTTCATCAATTTTTTCATTTATAATCACGTTTGGCTTTCACCTATGGTTTCTTAAGCTAGTGTATAGCTGTCAGCTTCGTTAAGATTAAATATTTAATCTCAGAAGATCCAATACTTTGCAATGGTTTTGGATTATGGTCGTCCGTCATGTCTCCAACTTGGAACTATTTATATAAAATTTCCTAAAATTCTTGTGGATTTAAATTTCTGTTGTTACAAAAAGAAAAAAAAAACGAAGAAAGTTGATCCAGGGGAGAGAAACAAGAAACCCACTATTGTTTCTTCGCTACTATTGCCTTTGAAGATCATGCTGGTTTTGAGCCGTTGTGAGTGTCCCATCACCCTAATGAAAAGAGAAGAATAATCAAGAAGTAAGTAAAGATGTAAGAGATGACAAAAGATCAGGAGTTATAAACCAGATTTGTATCGCGGGGGGAAAAAAGGGTTTTTACTAAGACTTACGACATTATGGATTGTTCAAAGCTTCAGATTCAGGATGACGGCGTTTAACTCCTCCTGCTTGTTGCTGATCAATGCTTGTATTCGCTGGCGTTGACTGGTCTGTGTCAAAGCTACGCCATAATTGGTCAAGGCTTTCTTCATATGCCAGTGTTCGTTGCTCTTCCAGTGGGAAGTTCTGTTGCGGCTGAAACTGAGGCTGGTGTTGTCCACTTCGGTCCTTTAGCTGTTCATCGGATTGCATTAAGTCATGTGCTTGTGCATCTAAGTCCTTGTCCTGGAAACCTAGGCCGTTATATCCAATATCGCCTCCAAGTCCAAATGTAGAAGGGTGGTCTAGCATTGGAGCTCCAATATCTATGGAGAAAGAAGAGGAGAATGATTCATACAAATGCGTAAGTAGAAGTGTTAAAATAATGAGGGATTAATAAAAAGAAAGGATTCAGTGTTTTCTTTACATGCATGCTCATCAGATGAAGACCACTTATCATCTGTGGAGAAAGAGAAGTAAACTGATTCATACAAATGCTTAAGTAGAAGGGTGAAAACAATGAGAGAGTAAGTTTGAGTCTTCTCTTTACCAGCAGGATTAGTAGATGTACACCAATGATCAGTTGTTGGAGCTTCAAGATGGTTGCCTATGGGGAAAGAAAAGGACTGATTCATACAAATGCTTAAAAAGGGTGAGAACAATGAGAGAGAAGAGAGAGAGTAAGGTTGAGTCTTCTCTTTACCAGCAGGATCAGTAGCTGCTGGTGCAACGGTTGGATCTACAATATAGTCATCTGCGGGGAAAGAAAAAAGAAACGGATTCATACAAATGCTTAAGGAAAAGGGTTAAAACAATGAGAGAGAGAAAGAGACAAAGATTGAGTATGTTCTTTACAATCAAGATCACTAAATGTAGAGCATGGATCATGATGGAGTTGATTTTGCTGACCGTTAGGAATCTGCAACTGCGTTACCACTGCCAAACAGAGAGACAAAGTGTAAGATCATCTGTGGGGAAAAGCAAAAGCAAACTGATTCATATAAATGCTTAAGTGAAAAACAGAGTTAAGGTTGAGTCTTCTCTTTACAAGCAGGATCAGTAGATGTACACCAGTGATCAGTAGCTGCTGGTGCAATGCTTGGAGCTCCAAGTTCGTTATCTATGGGGAAACAAAAGGAGAACGAACGATTCATATAAATGCTTGAATGTCGAAATGTGAAAGAAAACAATGAGGGACAAAGGTTGAGTCTTTTCATTACAAGTAGGATAAACAGATGTGCACCATTGATCAGTAGCTGTTGCTGCAACTGTTAAAGCTCCAGGATAGTCATCTGCAGGGGGAAAAAAGGAAACGGATTCATACAAAATGCTTAGGTAAAGCAATGAGAGAGAGAAAGATTGAGTTTTTTCTTCTTCTTTACAATCAAGATAAGTAAGTGTAGAGCTAGGACAAGGAGGGAGTTGGTTTTGCTGATCATTAGGAATCTGCAACTGCATCAATGCTACAAAACAGAGAGACAAAAGTGTAAGAAAATGTGTTTTCGACCACGAGTGTCATACCAAAATATTTTTATCTTCTAACTTTTTACCTGTTAGATCCGTAGCTTCTGGTGCAAGGGTTGGAGCTACAAGATGGTTATCTAAGTGGAAAGAAAAGGAAACTGATTTAGAAAGATGCTTAAAGTCAAAGGAGTTAAATCAACGAGAGAGAGCTATTCTTTACAGGAAAGATCACTATATGTAGACCGTTGATAAGGTTGGAGTTGATTTTGCTGATCATGAGGAGGAATCTGAAACTGCGTTACTGCAAAACAGAGAGACGGAAGGAATTGTTAATAAGTCAAATGTGCAAGAACTCGAATATTCGAGCACTATTTATAGTACCAAACTTTTGTCTGGATGTTACCTGATGAACCATATGCACCAGACGCTGCTAAGCTTGCAGAGTTCGCCATTGTCTTGTAGCCTACGCAATGCAAAAGAGATTTCAAACAAAACAGAACAAACCCAACTTTTTTTGTAAAAAGTTTAGAGACATCATTAGAGAGATTTACAAGATGTATTAGCTAGCTTATCCAAGAGACGGATTCCTTCAGGGTGATTCGTAAGGAAAGTCAAGATTGCAGCTGCACGAAGACAAACATTAACCCAAATATTTTCATAAGTTCGATTAGTAAATGATCCATATAAGAAGAGTGTGGTCTCTGTGTTATACGTACGTGATGTATAACAGATATCAATATTTCCAAGCTCGATCATCTGAGATACTTGCTTTGCAAGCATATCGTTGAACATCTTTGTCTGCCAAGCAACTTTGCATCTTAAGTAGTATTTCTTGAAGAAAATTGGGCTCTCTCTTTCTAGCTGCTCCCAAGCTAACAAGAAAAAATAAAAATTCTTAAGTTTATAAGAGAAGCAGAGATAGATAGGATTAAATAAGTAAAAAAAACAAATCATAGAGTTACTTGATCGTGTGAGGTTGTGGCTAATCTGGTAATTCTTCAGCAGATGATCAACGGTTTCTTCCAAACTCATGAACTTTTTGATACAGCTTTCGATTCTGTTCTTTACCTGAAAACAGAACAAAGACGATAGCAAAAAGATGAAACAGAGTATGCAAATAATAAGCATGAGAGAATCATGGATTTTTTAAGAGTTTTTGTGTAGAAAGAATCATTTACATAGTCAATGATCTCTGAATCAAAACGGCAGCTGCAGAAAGCTTTGTGTTGACATGATCCGTCCATAATTTTGGAGGAAACCTGACAAAAGATGGATCTCTCTTTCAAGAAGAAAGATTAGCTAAGGTTAATTCTTTCATGCGGATCATATGATTCATGAATATAACATAAACACGTAAAAAAATTGAAACGTCGTTGTCTATAGAGAGTAGAAAAACAGAGAGCAAGAAAAGTTACGTTCGTCGTTAATTTGACTGGAGGATTGAAAAAGTAAAAACAAACCTGGTTTTTCAAGTAATTCGTCTTCTTCTTTCGTATTTCTATAAGAAGCTTCACAGTCTTGGTTTCTTCACACTATTTCGTTTCGAAAATCGTCATCTTCATCCTCTGTTTTTCAGGTGAATCAGTTACGATGTTTCCGTACTCGGGTCGAGTCCAGCTGTTGAAGGTGAAAAAGGATTTTCCAAGAAAAATCTGAACTTTCTCAAGGAAATTCTCGAAACCAGAACAAGAACTGATGCGATTTAGGATTCCAAATTTATAGATGCAAATCCTGCTGACGTTGGGAAACTATCTGAAGAAAAGCTAAAACCCTAATTTCAGGTTTTATGGGTCACACAGAATATTCTATTTTTTACTGCTACTTTAACTGAAGTAAAAAAAAAAATAGATTGTGGGTCTACCAAAATCAAGCCAACATAGGATTTTTACTTGATTTGCCACTTGGCAGATCCATACTCATGCACAATCAGCATTATTCAGGGGAGAATTGATTGATTTTAAACTTTTTAAAATTTTAGAAATTATTTAGAGTACTAAAAAAAAAACTGTATAAAAAAAATATTTTGTTAAATTTAAATGTCTCCAAGTTCATGTACTTAAAAAAAAGTGTCTTAATGAATAAATATGTAAATTATTTTATTTGTAATTATCATGGGATTTTAATATGATTACAAAATTTACGAAATACGTAATAACTAAATTTACAAATATCATATATAATTTTTCTTAAAGTAATCAGAAAAGCAAGAACAGATTTGGGCCGCTATGGTTGACGATACTATTCAAGCCCAGAAAAGCCTTGAATTAATAGACAAAAACCTTCACAAGTCTCATAGAGATTACGAGGAATAACTCAAGTTTGCTTGGAAACAAATCACCTAATGAAAAAACTCAGTAGAGTTTATATACTCTTGAGATTGTTTTGATACCAGAAAAAAAAAGAAGAAGAAACATAAACAAAACTTGGAATCTACAGATCTTTTCACCTAATGAACAATAACAAGTAACAACCATTACCATCATCATCTACATATGATATATCGTCCCTCTTCATTCTATATAGCAACCCTGTACTTACCAGAAGAAGCATTCCTACAAAGAACCTATTCAAAATAAAAATAAAAACTTGGTCCCGAAGGAAAGAACGGGTCAGACCGAGGTTGTGATATCATTGTACTTAGGACGCGATCTATCGGTAGAAATCATCACTTCTTCCATTGCTTTCCTCTTATTACTACTCAACATTGGTTCTTGTTGTTCGGATTCGAGTTCTTGATGGAGAGGCAAGATTTCAATCACCGATGAATCTTCTTCCATCTCCGGTTTCAAAAAAGCTGCATTCTCTTCTTTTGCTGGTTTCTCACTCTCTTTCTTCAGTTTTGTTTTCATCATATGAGGTTTCAACTTGGTAAGATCAGCCAACTTCACCGGTTTCAAGAAAAACTCTTCAGCTCCTTCTTCCAGGCACCTGTTGTTCAAGTTTCAGCACAATTTATCAGTACTAAGATTCCAGATCCATTGCAAAAAAACAGGATTTTCTACACAAGTTCATGTTACTTTCTGTCCAAAGATAAAGACCAAAGAATCAAAAAATACACTCTGACTTATGCAAATTTACAAATCAATAAGACTCACAATGGGATTATAAAGAAACAGAGGCTTACCTGGAGATTCTAGCAGGAACGTTCTCAGATGACATTATTACTACAGGAATGCTTTTAAATGCCGCTGATTCCTACACGATCATATAAAATTTCTGTAAATTTCTCAGGAAAACAAAATTGAACTTATTATATACAGTAGCATAAAGAAAGATTGTTTAAGCGAGTGGGAAAAATATTCCCAAAAGAGATTTTCTCCATTGACATTCTCAATCAAAACTAAAGCGAACACCTTTATTTCTTTTTCTGGAAAAAACGAATTTCCCAGAGATGGAAAAGACAGCAACCCAATTGAGAAAATGCCAGAGAATTTTTGCCTAAACTCGAAGAAGAAGAAGACATACCTTAACTCTCTTGAGCAAATCATAACCAGTCATGCCAGGCATACAGTAATCTGTTATTATAAGGTTTATTTCAACTTCCTGCCCAAAGCCACAAACATACAAAGTTTCAGTAAAATGAATCGTGAAATTCGAAAGAAAACTCACTTGAATCATAAACAGAGAAGAACTGAACCTGATGAGTTACGGGTGATGTAGATGGTGCGTTTGGGTCGTCGATATCATCACTTTCTCTCAAACCCAGAAATTCGAGAGCTTTAGAGCCTGAATCAACTGTTGTTACTGCAAAAAACACGAACGAAAAGAAAGCTTTCTTAGATCCTTTCCTCTGTTTCTCCAATAACAGCGCCTAAAAATTCTGTATTTTTGTGTTCTTTCTGTTTACCTTGACACGAAGACTTTTGCAGCAACCTTTCTATCATTTTCCGATCAAAGAGACTATCATCAACGGCCAAAACATGGAACTGTGACTCTGTTACCATACCCATTGCGGAGAGTGAAACCGAATCGAAAAATTTCGAGATTTGAATCTAAAATCAACAAACCCAGATGCAAAGTTTCCTACTTTTTTTTTCTCTCGTTTTGTTGAGAAGATTCTCTTTGCCCGTTTCTTTCTTTAATGGAAATGTTAAAGAGTTCTCAATGGGCTTAGGCGTTAGGAGAGGAGAAGGAGAGAAATAAAAGGGGTCGCTTGTATTTTTCACTTCAAAACTCGGAGAGAGAAAAGAGGGGCGAAAAGGAAAAGGACAAAAAAAAAAAAAAAATTAGATCTAGCTTTTGAGTTAACGGACTAAGCAAGTTTTAAGGTGTTAAGATAATTTCTAAGAAGACAGATAGTGAGAGAAAAAACAAAAGAAACTTTGGTAATGGATAAAAAAAATGAAAGAAATCTATTATGAAGATTTTAAAGGATTTGTTTTATCCTCCAAAGACTTTCTAGGATTATGATAAGAAGATGAGGGATTTGATTAATATATATACTACCACAACCACATGCATTGTTAATTTAACGCCCATAGATAGTTGTTTTGGAGGTTGACAAAAACAAAGATAGTTGTTTTGGAGGAGGGCTGGCAAAAAAAAAAAAAAAAATTGATGAGTTGGACATTTTTTTAATGTCTATAATTTATACATACACTTTCAGATTCAAATCGGAGTAAAAATCTGACAATCGTAATATTTTATTTTTACAGCAAAAAACTCTATATATTACGCTAATTCAAGAAAATATTAAAGAAAGTCAATAGACTAAAAATTAAAAAAAGAGAAGACTAACCAAATGTTTCATAACTTATTAAATTAAATAAGCCGTTAATTTCTTAGGGTTCATCAATAGGGTATTATCTGCTTTTTAAAAAATAAATATTAACATGTACATTATGTTTTTTTTTCTAATGTAGTAGTTTGATTATTAAAATGTATCGAAGAGAACTAAATAGGCTAATATATTTAATTAAAGTAAGTTACATATATATATATATATATCTATCATTTCTGTTTAAATATTTTCTTTCGTAATTGAAGATAGTTTTCTTTTTAATTAAATATATCATGTTGAAATGTCACGATCAAATCATTGTTGAACCCAATTAAAAACATGGTTATTAATTTTAAAGACATGGTTTTTTATCATCGTTAAGAATTAAGGCTTTTCTCCTCTGAAGAAATGGGTATTGACACATAAACGATTATTTGAGAGTGCAAGTAGTGTCATTTTTTCCAGAAATTCTCTCAGACATATCAAAGATCTATATATTTTTAATATCTAATACATGAATAAATGATTCATAGTTAAAAGAAAAATAGTGTAAGTCCTCAAAATTTTAAATTTTTATTTTTAAGAAGTTTTTTAATGCTTTTGCTTACGTCAAGTTTCATTTGTTAATGTGTTTATTAAACCATTAAAATTTGTTTTTATTTATATTTAACACAAAAATTTCGAAATAATTTGAGATGGTCCTATTGAAAGAGTGATTTAGTGCAAACAGATTTTCATCGGACCACATAGATTAGTAGATTCATCGTCCCCATTTGTATTTTGCATTTTATGTTGTGGACTCTGTGGTTTCATGCAACTCGATGTGACGTGCTGTGTTGCGTATCAGTTATTGATTGGATGTAATGTTTTATCAGTTTGGTTTTTAACGTTTTTTGTCTCGCTTTTTATGGGTTGGTCGGTAAATTATTTTCATAAAATTCTTAGGTCTGATCATTGGTAACTCAAAAGATGTAAGCAATCTCTCACCAAAATTTAACCAACTATTCATAATTTAATTAATGTATACAAAGATATCTATATCGAAATCAAAAATCCAACTCAACACAAATATCAAACTTTTAGAGTATATTAATTGAATATAACCTAAGTGTGAAATAGCGGTGGCGCTTACCGTATACTTAGCAGTAAGATTCGTTGGCAAAAGAATAGGAAACTACTAGCAGTTGGGTTGTGTGGTAGTGGCAAAGACATGGCAATGTTCACTTGATTCTCTGCCAAAGATTTGCCACCCATGGTCATGCCCATCATCACCATTATCGTCATCATCATCTTTATCTGCACGACACGTATCCAAAGTATGGTAGACACACATGAAAAGTTCCCTCCAATAACCATTCTCTCTTATTGCTCTAGTGGGTTCCATATTGTCCTTACTTTCAACATTTTTTTTTTGCCTTTATAAATTTTCCATTGTATTTATAACTTTTTCTTTGTTATCCGCAGCAAAATGACAATGTAAGGGACTGTGGCTTTTTATTTTGTTTGTTGACATATTATTGGCTATGAGCCGATGACATAAGATACCTACTAATTTAAACAAAAAAGTTTTTGGTCGCTTCCTACTATTTGTTTTTTATTTTTCTTGTTTGTGTGAAAGGATGCTAATTTCAATTTCTTAAACTAATATTACACGTTTTACTCCTAACTATATAAATGATATGTGATAAAAATAGGGGTGGGCATATTATCCGTTATATTTGATTCGATTCGTTATTTGCTTCGATTCGATCTGAAAAGTCCGGATATTTGTAACGATTCAAAGCAAAGCAAATGTTAAAATATAGTATCCGTCTAAAACAAATCAAATCGCAAATACTAATTTTCGAAAGTGCGGATTTTCGCTCCGATCCGCAGAATACATATATACATATTAATATTATAAATTTTCAATGTTTTTATATAGTTTAATTATCTTATTAACAAATAAAAAAAAGAATATATATGATAAAAAATACATATAATAATTTTAAAGTAAGTAATAAACATCTACAATAGTTATCAAATATTTAAAAATAAATTAGAAAAGTTTAGATTAGAGTTTTAATTAATTAATATTCTTTTCAGAATATAAAACATGGTTTATGTTTTTCTATCATTATAATTTATTATTTATATCCATTTTTTAAATAAAAATAGTTATTTCACCTATTTTTAATTTGTAGTTCATATTTTAAAAAGAACCATATGTATTTTTACCTTTTATTTGTATTGAATAGAATAAATTTAATATCTATAAATATCCGTAAATATCCGCAAATATCCATAAATATTTGTAAATTTTCCGGATATCTGTATTTCCGGATATTCGTATTTTTTCGAAGCAAAGCAAATCACAAAATTAGATATCCGGTAAAAACGGAGCAAACCACAAATATTTAAAATTTTCCGGATATCCACTCCGCGCCCAGGCCTAGATAGAAGCATGTCGTTCTGAACTTCGGATGACCTCAAAGATTAACTATGTGATAAAGATTAGTTTGATAAAGAGTGTATGAATCGAATGTCAACATCAAAAAAATTCAAATTATTTATTTGAATGAATGGAGTCCCGTTTTATTTTGTTAATTTTAGTCTATAGTTTTAATATTTCCAGCGGATCTAGACAATTTATTTTAAAACACGGTGACATGTTAAAATATGAATTGCATGACCAAAACAATCCCTTTCTAACTAATTGAACAAGAATCATATACCTTTTTTCAAAATAATTTTGGCTGCATGTTACTTATTTTTTAGTGACTGCAAAAATCTCATGTCGAAACTTATTAATTATATATATTAATCTTTAAATAGTTGTTGAAACCCAAATCAGAACGCCTTCAATAGCCAAATATACCTAATGGTAAGTTGTTAGAATGACTTCATCTTTGCCTTACACAAATACACTCATCATTAGAAATGCTCTTCAATATTTGAAATTTGCCCCTCGAATTTCTAGTCTTTAATTAGTTTCTTATTTTCTGAAGAGCAACCAGAAACTAACAAAATTAATTTAAGAGTATATATATACATTCAATCTAGCAATCTAAGAGATTGAGAAGCAAGAGTCAAAGGATCGTGGCGTTGACTAAAAAGCGATTTGATGAATAGAGTGATCATGAACTTGTAATGCACGATGTGTCGGAAAGACATGCTTTGAATCTTAATAACCCTAAAAATATATAGTCGATCGAATAGATCTTCGATCAAGATCTTGTCTCTTTAAACTTCAGCACAACCGTCCATGTTTCTTTGATGATAGAGGACCCCTCCTCCTCTTCAACACATTCATAACTTCATCATCACAGCTTTTGACCCTACAATTTTGAAGGAGAAGACTACGAATTAGTGGGGTGAGTGAAAAATAAGTGGACGTAAATCCGACGATATACATTGACAGTAAAAATAAAAGATTGTAAGAACGAATGTGTTTCTTACAAAAAGACATCAGCCTACGTTTTTTTCTTCTCTAACGGTAAAACAAAAATAAGTAAAATTTTGTTTATTTAAAGAACCAAACGGTTAGTGGAATCTTTGTGTCTTTATCAGATTGTCATGAGTCTTACTCAAAGCTCATTAATTTACTATGATAAAAAACGTTATCTGCTTATGTATTAGCACAAATGTAGAATCCATGTAATAACCAACTAAAAGCAAATATTTGACTTGTTTTACACATAGAATAAGTACATACGATCTTTACTTTGAAATTTTGCAACTTTACGATTTGACTGGTTGAAAAGGAACCTACTGAGTAATATAATCAAATCATATTTAGTATTTGACTTGTAAATTGTGATACTATTTTATGTTTAACTCAAAATTATATCCATTCGTATAAGTATAAGATTGAAGATTGGTTTTAAAAATAAAAGATTGGAAAGAATGCAATTGCAAACTCAATGTCACGAATATTATTAACGCATAGAGAGACGTTGGCATGTGACATGAGAGAAGATACGGTGGATCGTATCTGGTGGCCTCCATCTTTGAACTTTTTTTAACATATATATAGAATTATTTTGTAGTTAATTTCTCTTATTATTATTATTTATTGATTTGATTTTAAAAGTTCTATTTATAAGATAATTATTTCGATGGTAATTTATAATATGAAAACTTCATAATTAATATCTATTATACAAGATATTCACCTAAACCATAAAATGAAAATAAGGTATAGGGAATTGTCATGCAAAAAAAAAAATGTTTGCCCACAAAAAAATGAATAGTTATGCCTCAACGCATTGAAGCTGGTGGAACTAAGTATTACAAATACTTTTCGATATATAACTAGAAATCAGACCAAAACTCAAACTAATTTTCCAAGTCTATATAGAACGTAACAGATTTTTTCAGTAACAAATTAAATCCATTTATTTTCAAACTTGAATTCTGATCTCCAGTCTCATGGTTGTTTTAATCACTTGACCATCGTAGATTAACTTTTTCATTTTTATTTATAATGAGTTAAATTGTAAATACATGCAAGTCATGTGTAATATGTTAACGTGATGGAAAATATGTTCCTTAAAAATCATCTAATTGATATAGAAATGGGTGCGTATTACGAGTGGTTGTACCCAATCAGTCTTATAATTGAAAATATGTTAATTTTTTATGTATCGATAAGCTCACGTTATAATGAGTATAGATGTATTTATTTGTTTTGGTGTGTATAAACTAGTATCGAATCACGTTAGCTCACGGTGATATCATTAACAATAACAAGATATTAATTTATAAAGAAATTAGCCATGGTCTTAATACGGTGAACCAAACCTCAGCCATTATTTAAAAAAGATACGACCGTACGTTGAGATCTACTTTGAGAATATTAACAGGTCGACTTGTCGACAAAAGAAATAAGAAACAACTCGAGTTATATAACTTTTGCATATTCCGATAACTTCGATTTCTTGTGATCGATCTTATTTTTCCCTGATTTTCTTTTAATATAAAAATAGGTACATTTTATATATAAATTCTCGGCATTATATATGAATCTGTGGAGGCTTTTTAATCAAAGATAAACAAAAAGAATACTTAAAAACCATTGGTTCACTAAGCCAAACAACAATAAGTTTCTTGCAAGAAAAAAAAAACCCACACAAAGTAGAGATCCAATACATTCAAGGGTTTGTTTACAAAAATGATGTGATGGTAAAATCGTAAATAAATAATGTGTTGTTGTTGAATACATCTAAAGATTTTACGTGCGTTGTTGTTGAATAATGTGAATGTGTGATAGTACTATGCAAAACAACATCTTATTAAATATTTGTAAAACACAAATAAAAACATCATATTCTTATTTACGAATTTGTCATCGTATCACTTTTACAAATGAGCTCCAAAAATTAGGCTATCTAGTATATATACCCATAAGTTACTAACCTATATAAAATGGCAGAAGTCATTTACCAAATTGCTAATACGAACCCGTAATTGTAACATAATAGAATTGTACAGTTCTTAAAATGAAAACACATCAATGTGACTTTCGTTAGTAAATAACAACATTTTTGTAACACAAATATATATATATATTTATACAGATATAGTATGTTGCCTTATTATCAAGTGTAGGTAGCTTTAATAGTTGATGTTACCCTTTACAAAAGGTTGCGCTCCAGAAATTAGAGTTGAATCTTGTTTGTTAAGTAATATCGGTTTGATACAAAAAAATGTATGTTATTTTGTCCAGAATTTCTCAATTAACCAAATATAAAAAATGGCATTGTAGATGCCTCGAAACACATGCTCCACGATACGGGTGTCTCAAATCTAATATACGTCGATACAAACAAATGTAGTGGCGAAAACCGAGCAAGCCATTCGTTTACTTTACATCGTCCGATATTAGCGTTATACGACGATGACTGTTTGAAAAAAGGCCACACCCAAATTTGGTTAATACTTATTAAGAAAACATTAGATATATAATCTGTTTTTTTTGCATTAATATATATATGTGTATATATACATATATTCTTAAGAAAATATTCCAAATTTGTACTGCTTAAAGAACCCAAAAAGGGGGAAAAAGGAAACGAGTGGCTATTTGAAGAGCTTCTAATCATTTGTTGCGATCAATCGTTAGATTTTAAACCGTTTTTTTTTTTCATTTCCAGAAGTCAAGTGGCGTTTTCTTTTGAAGGCTATGCTCTAATTACCAGTAACCTTTTCTATAATCGAAGATGATATAGTATGTAAGTATGAAATAACAATGTTCATTTCATGTGAAAATTATGCTGAATATGTAGATATGGTCATGGTCCTTATGTTTTTTACTTTTTTGACACTTAGATGCATGGTTTCTTCATGAGTCTTTAATCCGACATCCGTAACATTTGTATAAAATACCAAACTGAAATTTAAAATGCCCTTACAAGCGATGTTAGGACACAGTATACGATGTATGGCTGGTGCCCTTCCGATACAACACAAGGCCAAGGAAAAGGCAATATTGCACACCAAATCTTTATATTTTATGTTACGTATTATATAACACAATAAATAAAGTTTATATGATTATGTTCGTGTAACCCCAAAAGCATCACATTGAACTCCTTTCTAACGCCAAAAATAATGATATTATATCTTTTTTTTTGTTGGTTTAGAATAACGTTATTATGTAAATGTGTAGTACCAAGTCTCTTGAAGGAATAGCAATATAAATCCTTTTTTTTTTGCCAAACTATCCAATATTTTTTCATGGCGCACGTATCACAGAAAAAAAATAAACAATTCTGTGACTACAAGTTTTGTACTAGCTTTTATTACTTAATCTTTTTCTTTTTAACTGCAACTTTTATTACTTAATCAAGTAACGTATTATCACAATGAATATTCACGCAGTTTGAATAATTGTTACTTGGTCGGCTAAGTATTAATGTAATTACGACTTATTTACTTAGCCCAGATTCACCACACAACAGAAGGTCCTTAAACTCTTAAGACTAAGAGTCATAAGAAAATGGAGATGGGCTTGAAGTTAGCGGAAAGGCTTGATAGTAAGGAATTGGGCTCGGCAAATGATAAAGGCCCAGTTGAAGCGCGTGGATATACGCGAGACCAACGTTTCCACAAATAGTCGACACTCGACACAACAATCGGCTCCAGAATAAGGGAAAGAAGATAGGCGATTCTCATATTGATTTACTATAGTTTATGTTTTTTACTATAAAAATGTCGAGGCAAGTGTTTTTTTTTTTTTGGTCAAAGGCGAGGCAAGTGTTTTCCGGAAATTTCTTAACCTTAGTAATTCGGACTATTTCGAACTTTCTAGTTTCCACCGATATAACCGAGGGGACTAATCTTCGTAAATGGGATAAAGAATGGTATCAAATCACAAAAGTAAATGTTCAAAAAAAAAAAAAAATTCATAAAAGTGTTTTAAAAAACGTGAAGCAGACTCTTTCCAACTCAACCAAGAATATTTCTAAAAAAAAAGAGAGACACGTCATAAAACAATGTAACAAGAAACACTCTTTTACAAAAAAAAATAAATAAACACAAGTCCTATTCATTAGTCTAGCTTTTAATTTCCCCGGAAGGGTCAGTCCTAAGTCCTAACTAAACCTTCCGTTGTTAACAAAACTTTCTTTTAGAAATAAAAAGACTATAGTTTTGTTCCTGCAAAATGATATTCTCACAATTCAATAATAATAGTAAAACGTTAGAACTAAACTTATACAAATCCATATATATATTAAAAATAAAAAAAAATCAACTCGAACTTTCATCGTTATTTCAATCTTTTCTTTTGTCAGAAAGCTTTATCTAAATCTGAGTTCACTTTGACATATGAAAAAGAAAAAAAAAAACAATTAGAAAAGTAGTGTTGCAGATATAAAAAGATAAAGTCATCAAAAGTAATAACATGGGATCGCTTCCTCTTAATTGCTTATGCTTTTCACTATTTATTCCTTGTCTTGTCTCTCAAGTATTCTCAAACATGAAACAACCAAATAATTAGTATACATACATATCAGCATATAAGTAAGTAAATGGTCATTCCAACTTACAATTAAAACACATTTTTTTTTATCGGAAGAAAAGTTAGAGCAGCTACAGAATCAATGCCAATCAGCCGGAAAGTTCTGACGTGGGCCGTATTAACAGCGGTTACGGCCGTCCTGGTCGTTTTCGTCGGACGATCTATCATCGGACCGGAGAGTATAGTGGGCTCGAGAAACGTTCTAACCACGGCGAGGATGATCCCCCTTCCGGTGGATGGACCGGAGAGTCTGGACTGGGACCCACGAGGGGAAGGCCCATACGTCGGCGTCACTGACGGTCGTATACTCAAGTGGCGCGGTGAGGATATTGGCTGGGTCGAATTCGCCTATTCATCTCCCCACAGGTTTGTTTAATTATATATGGTCCAAATATATTATTTAAGTGACCGATTGTTTCAACTCAAATATTTGTTTAATGTCTTGTGCTTCGCTATTTAAAAGAATCATCATTTGCATATATATCTCGTAAATGAACTCTAAAAAAAAAGAAAAAAAAAGGATTTTGCATTTGCTTAATGTTAGACTGAGACGTGCACTCTTGTGGTGTGTGGCTTCTAGTGTCACTGCATCACCTCTCAAATTCAAATTTTTGTACTGTATGTTCTTGATGAAAACAAATAAAACAAAAAAGAGAGATGAAACGGTAGAATCAATGTTTAATACACATAATTGGTTATAGGGTACACACAAACATAATAGAGTTTCTATTTTTGAATTTGGTGTATATATATAAAGAGGGAACTGTTCAAGCCATAAGGTGGAACCTGCGTGTGGGAGGCCTTTGGGACTGAGCTTCGAGAAGAAATCGGGAGATTTGTACTTTTGTGACGGTTACTTTGGGGTAATGAAGGTCGGGCCTAAAGGAGGATTGGCCGAGAAGGTGGTGGACGAAGTCGAAGGCCAAAAAATCATGTTTGCGAACCAAATGGATATAGATGAAGAAGAGGATGCTATCTACTTCAACGATAGCAGCGACACCTACCATTTCGGGTATTATAACAATTCACTTTCTATTACTATTTTTTCTTTTGGTTCGGAAATTAAACTCTTGACTGTTTGTTTATGTTTGTATTAGAATGTCCCACATTATAAGTTCTAACAAATTTTATCTAGAATATAAAATTTATTGACTAATCCACCTGTTATCAATTGCTATTGAATTGCAAGCCTGATTTCTAATCTGGTATCGAAGCCTATATATGATTGACCTGACAGACATTTTTCTACAAAAAACGATTTTTCACATTCTTATTGATCCATATAAATGCTCCTTTTTCATAGTAGCATTTCCATGATGAACTAAAATATAAAATTTTATGGGATATTTCACTCATTTTTATAATTTTTAAGTTGGAAGCTTGTGTTAATTAAAAAAAAAAAAACTAATTTCATATTCTGTTACGTTCTTGTTTGAATCAGGGACGTATTCTACGCGTTTCTATGTGGCGAAAAGACGGGAAGAGCGATTCGATACGACAAGAAGACAAAAGAGGCCAAGGTTATAATGGACCGTCTTCATTTCCCTAATGGTCTTGCCTTAAGCAAAGATGGTTCGTTCGTTCTTTCATGTGAGGTCCCAGCGCAACTTGTGCAGCGATATTGGGTCAAGGGACCTAAAGCCGGGACCCGCGACATATTCGCAAAGCTACCTGGCTACGCCGATAACATCAGGAGGACCGAGACAGGAGATTTCTGGGTTGCCTTGCATTCCAAGAAAACTCCATTTTCTAGGCTTTCGTTGATGCATCCGTTGATTGGGAAATTTTTCATGAAGACGTTGAAGATGGAGCTGTTGGTTTTTCTCTTTGAAGGTGGGAAGCCTCATGCCGTGGCCGTGAAACTCTGCGGCAAGACCGGAGAGGTTGTGGAGATTCTTGAGGATAGTGAAGGGAAGAATATGAAGTTCATAAGTGAGGTTCAAGAGAGAGATGGTAAGCTTTGGTTTGGGTCTGTGTTTCTGCCTTCCGTTTGGGTTCTCGATCATAAGTGAGGTTCAAGAGAGATACGACCACGTTTTTTTCCAAGTGTTTTGATTAGTATTAAAGGATATTTCTTTTGCATCTACATTATCACTTTCTCATGTGTGTGGATTTGATAATAATCAAAAGGGTTTTTAAAGTATTTGCTGTACCCGGTTAAAATTGCTTTAAATAAGTCATTTTCGAGACTCTTGTTAATTACTTAGTTCTGTTTATTTTAATGTTTTGGTTAAGTATTTTCCTTTCAAGTCGACCATTCGTTTTTCTTTTTTTTAATTTGATTATATTTCGAGTTTTTATTGTATTTTAATGTTTCAACTGAAAAGTAAGTACTGTAACTTGTAAAAAACTCTATTTACATACCCACGGAGAGAAAAATCTCATGATAGAACCAAAAGTGACGATTTTAAACGAATAATTAATAAAAACGAAAAAAACTATTGTAGCAAAGGGCACTTGAGCGGTTTCGCATGTCACTATCAACACATTCAGCCTGAATGAAGCAAAGAATCGAATTTTCATGTTTCAAAAGTGTAAGAACCAAATTCAGTCTTGATTCGGTTCAATTTCAATTTATTATTTTTTTCATATCACTTTTATATGAAAAAATATTCTGGCAGGCCAATAAGAGCTCCGTTTTTGTCTTTTTATTTTTATATTTGTATTACTTTCCTGCTTGAAAACCAAGATAATACCTACACAGAATAAAATTATTAAAAGTTCTATAAGAAATTTGAAAAATAAAAATGTGAGGCCATTGACCGGCTGTGCAGTTCACTAACCTAATAGGTGGGATTGTAAAGATCACATTCTTTTTTTAAAATCGACTCTGATGTTTTTGGAATTGTTTGTTTGGATGGGTTTGATGAAAAGTAATATAAAAATAAAACAAACAAAAAAAAATGGTCAGAACTCAGAAGGCAACACAACGAATAGGTTGCCGAGTGGGGCTCATGCCGTTGCTTCTTCTACCCACTGACCCTTCTCCTGTCAATTCACTTCCTCCAACAGCAACTTCCTTTGTCTTTTATTTTAATGGTTAATTACTTTTGTTTCTCATATACATACAGTATAAGAAAACAAAATATAAAAAGAAGCAAACAAAAACAGTTATTATTTGTTGATGTAAAAAAAAAAAACAGTTATTATTTGTTACAATATAAAGTTTTTCTTTTTCTTTTTGTTGAATACATTTACACTTTACCCAAACTTGTAAAATTGATCCTAACTAAAATACTGATAAAACTTTTGGATGGGAAAGAATAGAGAGAACAGAATATATCCCTGAAACTTTAGAATACAATGAAGTAAATGTGATCCCTCGTTTTCCGGTGTTTGTAAACAAGCATACCATATACATGTAGTAATATGCCTCGCAAAACCACAATTTAAAATATGTAATTTTGTTTTTGTTTTTAATTTTTTTTTATTCTTTTACTCCCAATAGAAAAACAAGAAATGACTAATCTTACTAGTTAAAAAAATTATGGGAAAATTATCTTGTCATGTCTAGTTAATAATAATACACGAATTGAGGCAGACTAAAAGAAATGTATTGTTTAATTTCCTTGTAATCTCATTCTATAAACGGCAAAAACTTCTATCTTGACAAACGTAGGTAGGTGAATGGTATCATGGCTGTCTGGTTAGTAAGAAGGAAATATATCTTTTATAATAAAGCTGTTAAGAAAGAAACGTTAGAATAGAAAAATAAAACATACTATAAATTAACAAATGGATGATGACAAAAGAAAACCAACAAAGGGAATTCCGGATCCACAAATCCCAAGAATGCAATAAATAATAAATTAAAATTTCTAAGCTAAAATCTTTTAGTTTTCAGTTTTTGACACGAATCGGACATGTATAAGAAAACTATTTATTATTTCTGACACCTCTATATAATAATAACCACAATAACTCTTACCACAGTGGCACAAAATAGAGGGAAAACAAAAAATAGGGAAATGATGAAAATCTTCTTAGTGGTGGCAATACCCGCCCTTCTCATTAGCCTCACGAATTTTTCCGGTGAGAGTCCAAAACATGGAGAATCATTGTTGACTGTTCATTTCCCTGAATTCCATCTGATTCCGACCACCGGAGCTTTGGGACCGGAGAGTTTCGTTTTCGATTTCTCCGGCGAAGGTCCTTACACCGGTTTATCTGACGGTAGAATTGTTAAGTGGTTAGCTAACGAGAGCCGTTGGATCGATTTCGCCGTCACCACCCCATCAAGGTACGCAATAATTTATCATTTTTTTTACTTTTATTGGGATTTTTTTTGTTTCCTCGTTATTTTTTATCTGTTTTTGGTTTTTGTGGATTTAACTCCTTCAATTGTATCCACCAACTTCTTCTGTCCCATCGAAATTATCGATTTAATTATCAGAATAATCTCCTCCTTTGAAAATTCCAACATTGTATTAACACATAGACCCTTTTAAATTGATTAAAATCTTAATAAAATACATTTAGTTATGAATAATTCCTGACTAACGAAAAGGTTCTTTTGTGACTGCATATGCACTTCAACTTTCACGTGGTCAACTTCTTTGGTTGTTTTAAATTGCAAAATGAACTTTCTTGATCACAATTTAGTAATTCGGGCATGCATGTGAAGTTCCCATTTTGAGGGGAGATTGTAGTACTCAACTGCATGTGCATTATATATGCATATTCGGCTATGCAACATGATTGCTTCTTAAATTTTCTCTGAATAGCTTTTCCCTGCCGTTTCTCACGCTCTTGTTGTGAAATGTTCCAGTTTTTTTGTTATATAAGTTTTAAAATTAAATGCCGACAGCTAAAGAATGAGTGACAAAATAGAAATTGCTGCATTCTTATTTGTTTACTAGAAGTCTAGGAGTTATGAGTAAACGACCTTTTGTTACAAAAGATAGGCAAATGTGTTAGTATTGACTTTTTGGTGGTCCAGGTTTGCTATAATGAAAAGAAAAAAAAAGTTATTTTGATACACATTTCGCAAATATTACAAAATATTTATAACGTACAATGATGCCTCTATTATGTAAACAAAATAAAGTTACTCATTAATCTCAAGTTTGCTCTTAGCCTTAATAGCAAAAATATAAAAATAATTACTGATGATGGGGTTTTACACTCTAATGGCAATTTCTGTTTTGATAAAAATGCAGAGAAGGTTGTGAGGGCCCGCACGAGCACCATCGAACGGAACACGTGTGCGGACGACCATTGGGCCTGGTCTTTGAAAAATCTTCTGGTGATCTTTATATCGCCGATGCTTATATGGGCCTTCTAAAAGTTGGCCCAGAAGGTGGCTTAGCGAACCAGATGCTGACACATCAGCTGGAGGAGCCTCTTACGTTTACAAACGGAGTGGATATCGATCCACGGACCGGAGTTGTCTACTTTACCGATAGTAGTTCGGTTTATCAACGGAGGTAAATTATGCGAAATTTATCATCTTAAATAAAATTTAACTAAATATTATCTTGTTAAGAGATCGTAAATTGATCATTTAAATTGTTTTTATCTTCAGGAATTATATAGGGGCGATGATGAGTGGGGACAGAACCGGTAGACTGATGAAGTACGACCCAAATACGAAACAAGTGACCACTCTTCTAAGCAACCTAGCGTTCCCAAACGGCGTCGTTCTCAGCCAAAACGGTGATTACCTTCTCCTGGCCGATACTGCCACGTGTCGGATCCTACGTTACTGGCTGAACGATACGTCGACGACGCCTAAGTCTCGCGAGAAGTACGAGATTTTCGCGGAGGGGCTCCCAGGGTTTCCCGACAACATAAAGAGGAGTCCACGTGGAGGATTCTGGGTAGGCGTGAACACCAAACACTCAAAGCTGACAAAGTTCGCCATGTCGAACGCGTGGCTAGGTCGGGGCGCTTTGGGCCTGCCGGTGGACTGGATGAAGGTCCATTCGTATTGGGCCAAGTACAATGGGAATGGGATGGCCGTGAGGTTAAGCGAAGGTAGTGGCGAAATATCAGAGGTATTCGAGGGTAAAAATGGAAATAAGTGGATGTCCATAAGTGAGGTGGAAGAGAAAGACGGAACTCTATGGGTTGGATCGGTGAATACTCCTTTCGCTGGCATGTATAAAATCTAGACTTTCATTGGTGATCTACTTGGAAGATCATTTAAACATACTTTTTTTCAAACATACTTTTTTTCAAAAAGAAATGCATTTTGTTTTTATATTGAAGAAAAAAGTGAAATTTGTTCATTTACTTCGGAGTAACTTTTCATATTTATTTTAAAACTTTTCTTCACTCATTTTCTCTTTTGTATTCATTTCAATCATTTTTATACTATACTATTTTTTAATAGTCAACAATCGAAATCTAAAACTTAGTTATACAAAGAAAAGCTTTCCTATTGATCATCATCATAACTACATGTCATGTAGACTTATTATCCTGAAAATTAATCATTTAGTATAATTACACGACATATAGTTTTATTGAACTAGCTACACGGTTTGATATTAAATTTATAAAAAAAATTAGGTTAAGTAACCCCAATAGAAATACTACTAATCAAGGTTTTATTGATTAATTATTAATAATTAATGTATTTTATGTGTATAGGACATTTTGTAATATTTTGTTTTTTCTAAACCTACAATAGAGTGTTTTAAAAAAATATATATATAATTTTTTAAATAAAATTAAGTAAATTATGTTAACAACTTTTTAAAACAAAATACATGTTCAAAATTAATAAATATCATATAAAATAATATCATAAATTAATAAATATCATATAAAATAATTTTATATAAATATATAATAGTGATCATCTATTAAAATATGAGTATATTGTTGTTTTTTATATTAAAATTAAAATATTTTTATTATTTATCTTTAATTTTATATTGATTTTTTGCAAATATTATAAATTCTAAAAAAAATTATTTTAATTAATTAATAATAAAGAATTTATTTTATATAAAACTGATAAATTAATAACTTTATAGATTAATAAAATATCGAAGTTTCAACATTGTAGGTGAAAATATATAAATTATAGATTTGTAATTCAGAAACTAAAATTTTTCATCATCCACTCACAGTTTGCTACGTATGCGTTCTTACGTGATGTCTTATTTTTTAGATGTTTTCATTTGTTTAGAAAAATAGAGGTCTCTATTGGAGTTGGTCGACAATTATATGAACCTTTGGTTTTTATTGAGCTTCGCTGCATGCTTTTTCTGATAGTTATAACTGAAATGAATATTATGATCCATGGTTTGATATTAAAACAGTTGTTCTTATTTATAATCTCCACGAGAGAAACACTACACAACAACAAAGTACATATATTATGGTGACCCTACGACATTTTTATTTGAGCTAGGTACCTTATTAGGCACCAATTTTTTATTTTGACGTACGACGTAATAGTAATAAACCTGCATGCGTACAAACATAGAGTTTGTGTTACACACCAATTCATGGCTTAGCTTCTTCCTTTTTGTTCTCTTCCTCGGTAGCCATCTTCTTGGAACAACAAGCACTGCACTGCCCAAAAACGTAGCTTCCGCAGCAACCGTACCTACATCGACGGACTTGCTGGGGCTCAACAACCTCGGTTTCGGCTTGAGGACTTCGGCAGCAGTAGGTGCACCGTCGTCCACGCCATCCGCAACATCCGTACCTACAACCACCACCACCCCACCCTTGCTGAGGCTCAACAGCTTCCACGGCCTCTTCGGTCTCGGTCTCCGCTTGAGGACTTCGGCAACAGTAGGTGCACCGTCGTCCACGCCATCCGCAACATCCGTACCTACAACCACCACCACCCCTTTGCTGAGGCTCAACAGCTTCCACGGCTTCTTCGGTCTCGGCTTGAGGACTTCGGCAGCAGTAGGCGCACCGTCCTCCACGCCATCCGCAACATCCGTACCTACAACCACCACCACCCCTTTGCTGAGGCTCAACAGCGTTGTCCTCAACAGCGTTGGCCTCTACAGCGTGTTGGGGCTCTACAACAACTTCTTTGGACTCGGCTTCGGCTTCAGGTTCCGCTTCCGCATTCTGGGGTCGGCTGCAGCAAGCGCTGCACCGTCCAAAAGCGTAGGATCCGCAACATCCGTACCTACAACCGCCACGTTGTTGTGGCTCTATGGTATCGGTTGCTTCACTTGGCTTCACTTCATCCTTAGCTGCACGTGTGATTTATATGTTATTTAGTTCAGGCGATGAACTAAACATTCAATCATCAATTCTGATAAAGTAAAACAGGGAAACTATAGATAAAGAGTTGTATACCGTGTGTGGCATCGTTGGATGTGTCGGCAAAAACAGCGAGGGAGAGGGAAAAGAGCAAAGCCAAGAGAGCGAGAGACTTGAGGGTTTTCATGCTTTGATTTCGTTACACAAAGACACAGCTTATTCAGTATGTTGTGAGGGATGATTTTTTGGTAGTGAAGAGTGTATGACCACAGCATATCTATTTATACTTGGGCGGCAAAACATGGCGACAAGAGAACGGTCAATTATGTCGAGACGTCGAGTGAGTGAGGATAATGGCATATTTTATGGGGGGGAAACAATTTTGATGTTTCATAGAAAATGTAAAAGATATATCAACAATTCGTTCAGATTGATTCCATTGATTTAAAACTAATTTGGTCTCGGCAGACGTAATAATCATCCTAAACTATGAAAATAGAAAAACTGATTAACAAAGATTATAAGAGGCTTTAATGCTAACGTTTTCTAAGCTTAACTCATAGTTCCTTTCGTTTTAATTATGATGATGGCTCCAAAAGAGAAGTCAGGATATAAGAGATTGTGCAATTAATATATAATAATATTAATGCTTTTGTGTACATATAAAACAGTGTCACGGATATAGATACGAAAAAAACCAAATATTATGTACAAAATATAAAATAAGTATCATCTATCTCTTCTTGGTCACTAGAGAAAACAAAATACATATAATCAAATATCACAATTCAAACGGGTGTTTCGTTGTCAACTACCAGTTTTCTACATACTGGATATGTTCAACTTATATAATGCTAAAATGGATACGTTTATATTAATGTATTTTGGATATAAGTAACTAAATAAAAACCTCATCACAAAGATATACTCCCTCCATTTTTTAATGTTTGATTTTTTAGTTTTTTATAAGTTTTAAGAAGTAATTATTAATTATTCTTTTCAGTTACTTTTTCATTTTAATATTTTTTTATATTAATTATCTTAATGTATATATTCTCTTTTTAAGAATAAAGTGTTCTTGAAAAAAAGAAATAGATTAAATATAATTTAAAAAATCAAATTTTGTAAAACAAAGAAAAATTCTAAAACATCAAACTTTCTGAAAGAGAGAGAATATATTGAATATTCACTCCTCTAATATTTCTAAAATCTATAACATAAAAATACAACAGTACAAATAGAAAAGTAAATGAAAACTATAAACTAGTAAAAAACTACGTCATGTAAACTACTAAATATATCAATTTTTTTGTTCAAATCCTTTATATTATTACATATTAAAAAATATAGAAGGAACTAAAACATCTTATTATTAAATTTAATAATAATGTTTGGCTTTTACTATAATCACTGGTTAATGACAAAAAGGTAAAAGGTAATCATCGTGATGTTTGTTGTTAAAAATATTGAACGTTGAAAGCAATTACAAGCATCGAAAGGTTCGATAGCTAAACTCTTCCAATGTGGTTCCATGTGGAAATGCCATGCTCTCTACATGGCCTGTGGTGTTTACACGTGTCGAGACAGTTGTCACAAAGTCCAACTTTTAGACTTGAGAAAACCCACCGTTCGAAAGGATAATGTCCTTCTATATATATTCCAAAAGCAATCATAGAACCTCAATTCAAACTCTTCCTCTTTTGGTAAAATCATCAGAATTGCTACAAATGAAGAAAAAGAAAGCTTCAGTTTATGGTGGTGTCATGTAGTTAAGGAACTTATTTGGGCCTTAATTTCAGATTTTGGGCCTAATATAAAAACCCATTATATCGGGCCGTTGCATAGTAATTGGCTTACTGGCCTGAAAAACAGCACCATTTGACCGTGTAAAAGAACAACAAACAATCACTGTTCTTGTAAAAAATGTTGATGCAGTTGATGTAAAATTATTTGTTGAAGCAATTGATGGATATAGCTTATCTTCCAAAATCAAATTATATTGACTTGTTGTCTTTGCTGAATAAAAAAACAGTCATCACAGCACGTCAAGTCTTTAATACGTTTGAATTAGACCGTAATCTAAAAGCGTGATTAATCAAAGTTAAAACCATAATGTGGGACAAAATATCCACTGAACTATTTTCGGAATAGTTTCTCTAACACTACCCTCAACATTATAATATGCCGACTCTGATCACTCAGTGGTGCCCGGCTGCCTAAGTAGATCTATATCCGATTAATTACGTAACCTCATTTAGTTTTAAAAGTATAGAAATCATACGTGACAAATTTTGATTGTGCATTAATATTTTCAATATTTTCTATTTATAGTGTTTTAATTTACATTTTCCAATGACTAGAAAATTCTTGAAGAAAAAGAAACTCGAAACGGGTGCAGTTCACAAATCTTCACAAAACACTTGATGAGTATCTCTACCAGTGTTTGACAACGAACAGTATCTCAACCACCGCAAACTAGTTATAAGAATATAATTGTTAATCCACAGCAACCTACTGTTTCTACATATATCAAAAATATTATCCGAGACCTTTACATCTGGTTTTCCTTTTAATAAAAACAATTTAATGAACTCATTTTGAAAATTTAGTCTTCAAATTTTTGATATAAAAATCGTGAAAACCCTTTTTCCAAATCACCAACAAACAATTTTTGTCAAGTACAAAGTTGCATACATTAATACAATATCTAACATTTGCTTAACCCCAAGTTTTCCTATCTTTGAAATATGTAGAAACCAAATACGTCTAAAGCTCGCTTAACGGACTCAATATATATACTAAAAAAAATATCCAAAAAAACACAGGCCCGAATCTGAGTTATTTCGTCCTTCCATAGTAATTAAACAACCAAAATATTGGATATATGTCTGGAAATTGTTCTGCAAATTTTGTGGGATTGAACATTAGCCCCACACTGGTGGTGTAGAATGGATTCTGCTTCAATCAAATCAATAAATGGGCCAAAACTTTACTATCAATCTTGTGGCCCATAGTTTAACAAAGTACATATATTATGATGACCCTACGACATTTTTATTTGAGCTAGGTACCTTATTAATTAGGCACCGATTTTTATTTTGACATACTACGTAGTAGTAACAAACCATGCATGCATGCGTACAAACATAGAGTTTGTGTTACACACCAATTCATGGCTTAGCTTCTTCCTTTTTCTTCTCTTCTTCTGTAGCCATCTTCTTTGAACAACAAGCACTGCACTGCCCAAAAGCGTAGCTTCCGCAGCAACCGTACCTACATCGACGGACTTGCTGGGGATCAACAACCTCGGTTTCGGCTTGAGGACTTCGGCAACAGTAGGCGCACCGTCGTCCACGCCATCCGCAACAGCCGTACCTACAACCACCACCGCCCCACCCTTGCTGAGGCTCAACAGCTTCCACGGCCTCCTCGGTCTCGGTCTCGGCTTGAGGACTTCGGCAACAGTAGGCGCACCGTCCTCCACGCCATCCGCAACATCCGTACCTACAACCACCACCACCCCTTTGCTGAGGCTCAACAGCGTTGGCCTCTACGGCTTGGGGTCGGCGACAACAGAAGATGCATCGTCCAAACGTCCATCCACCGCAACATCCGAACCTACAAAACCCCCACTGTTGGGGCTCTAAAACAACTTCTTTGGACTCGGTTTCGGCTTCGGGTTCCGCTTCCGCAGTCTGGGGTCGGCTGCAGCAAGCGCTGCACCGTCCAAAAGCGTAGGATCCGCAACATCCGTACCTACAACCGCCACGTTGTTGTGGCTCTATGGTATCGGTTGCTTCACTTGGCTTCACTTCATCCTTAGCTGCACGTGTGATTTATATGTTGTTTAGTTCAGGCGATGAACGAAACATTCAATCATCAATTCTGAGAAAGTAAAACAGGGAAACTATAGATAAAGAGTTGTATACCGTGTGTGGCATCGTTGGATGTGTCGGCAAAAACAGCGAGGGAGAGGGAAAAGAGCAAAGCCAAGAGAGCGAGAGACTTGAGGGTTTTCATGCTTTGATTTCGTTACACAAAGTCACAGCTTGTTCAGTATGTTGTGAGGGATGATTTTTTTGGTAGTGAAGAGTGTATGACCACAGCACATCTATCTATACTTGGGCGGCAAAACATGGCGACAAGAGAACGGTCAATTATGTCGAGACGTCGAGTGAGGGAAGATAATGGCATATATTATGGGGGGGAAAACAATTTTGATATTTCATAGAAAATGTAAAAGATATATCAACAATTCGTTCAGATTGATTCCATTGATTTAAAACTAATTTGGTATCGGCATCATAACTATCTAAACTATGAAAATAGAGAAATTGATTAACGAAGATTTTAAGAGGCTTTAATGCTCATAGTTCCTTTCGTTTTAATTAACTTTTAATCATGATGATGGCTCCAAAAGAGAAGTCAGATTTAAGAAATTGTGCAATTAATAGATATTAATACTAATGCTTTTGTGTACATATATAAAACAGTGTCACGGATATATATAGATACGAAAACAAACAAATTTTATGTACAAAATATAAAATAAGTATAATTTATCTCTTGATCACTACAGAAAACAAAATACATATAATCAAATAATATATATCACCATTCAAACGGTGTTTCGTTGTCACCAGTTTTCTACATACTGGATATGTTCAACTTATGTACTGCTAAAATGGATACGTTTATATTAGTATTTTGGATATAAGTAACTATATAAAAAGTTAAAAACATCATCACAAAGATATTGAATATTCACTATTTACTCTGACTTTCTAAAATCTATAACATAAAAACACAACAATACAAATAGAAAAGTAAATGAAAACTATAAACTAGTAAACCTACGTCACGTAAACTACTAAATATATCAAATAAAATATTTTTTCTCAAATCCTTTATAGTATTACATATTAAAAAATATAGAAGAAACTAAAACATTTTATTATTAAATTTATTATTTACTAGGTGTTTCTCCACACCTTGTGCGGAATTTGATTAATTTTTTTAAAAAAGTATTAACATTAGTTTATTTATAGATAAAAAATCAGATTTTATAATTATATGAAACCAAAACTAATATATTTAAAAAAATACAATTTTCATGAGTATATTGTTTTTTGTGATAAATCAAAATATATTATTTATATCTTATTTTCTAATATTTTTTATATTATCCAATAAAAACTTATATGTATACTTTGTTGTTTTGTTGCATATAAATAATTATCTTTTCTTGGTGTAAATTGGCAGATTAAGATTAATTAAAATTTTAAGTTTGCATAAAAAAATTCATAGGAATCCAAAATGACCAAAACCAAAAGATCCTTGTTTTATATCAACATAACATTAATCAAACATGGTAAATAATTTTCTTCTTTTGGTGTAAATTGGTAAATTAAGATTAATGAAATTTAAAGTTTACATAAAAAAATAACATAAAAATTTAAAATGACCAAAACCAAATAATCCTTGTTTCATATCAATATAACATTAATTAATATATATAAAGTTTTAAAAAGGGTTAAAGGATTTATGATTTTACTTTTGGTCACATAAATCAATTAGATTAGTCAAAAATATTAGTATATTAAACAATTAAATTAAAATTAATTTAAAAAAAATAATTAGGATTATTTTGTGATTTATGTTAGTTATTTTTTTAGTAAACTGAATATTTTTATGATATAAATTCAAATTTAAAAACTTAACTTAAAAAAACGAAAATCAATTAAAAGTTATATTATATTATTAATTTATTAATTTTATTAAAGATAAATAAAATATTTTTATATAAAAGATAAATAGTAATCAACCATCATAACTCTCAGCCACAATTCAACATATTTATTAATTAATAATATGATTTTAGACTTTTACTATAATCACTGGTTAATAACAAAAAGGTAAAAGGTAATCATCGTGTTGTTTGTTGTCTTCTAATGTGGTTCCATGTGAAATGCCATGCTCTTTACATGGCCTGTGGTGTTTACACGTGTCGAGACAGTTGTCACAAAGTCCAACTTTAAGACTTGAAAACCCACCGTTCGAAAGGATAATGGCCTTCTATATATTCCAAAAGCAATCATAGAACCCCAATTCAAACTCTTCCTATTATTGTAAAATCATTACAGCACCTTCATCGGTGTTTCTTAAGATTTTTTTAAAAATTTTTTTAAGTAAAAAATAAAGAAAATAAATAATTAATATTTAGAAAAAAGCAAAAACGGTTGTTAATTGACAACTTTTAGAATTGTTTAGAGACGATAACGTGTCAATTCCTGATTCAATAGATTTTTTTTAACAAAAATTAACAAAACAAAAAAAAATATTTCTATCTATAGATCAACCCACTTTCATTTCTATGCGATCTCGAGTTTCTCAATCAGCAATTCAAGATTAGGGATTCCAAATTTTTCATTAACCAACCTATCAAATGGCGTCTCTGCTATTCTTAGGAACAAGATTGGTCAAGGTAGTGTTGATTTCGGCACAGCGACATTTGAAAAGAATAAGAAGATAATCGAAGTGAATCAGGCGACTGAACAAAAGGTTAAAATGACTTTATAGTTAGTATATTTTTGTTATTTTCAGTTATTCAAAATTTTCCAAATTCAAGCATTTGTGGATATTGTTCTTTTTATAATATACTATTTGAGTATAGTTCCCGTAAAAAGTGAAGATGTTTTTTTTTCTGGAAAAACCGTTCAAATTGCTTTAATATAGAAATGCAGTTCAACTTTTTCTAGAAACACACAAATGTCTTATTTTTTGCAAAGCTCTTCACGGTAATTTTTCTTTCACTTCTTTTTTTTATCTTTATATGATAATTTCTAAAATATAATTTTATTTTTTATTTTTAAGAATCTTTAATAGATTCTTATCAATGAAAGAGGAAAAAAATAAAATTTTTTAACAAAATATTTAAAGTGAGATGATGAGAAATTTATATTAAAAAAATTTGTTAACAACCCTGGGTTTACCAACGGAGATGGTTCTAGAATTGCTACAAACGAAGAAATGGAAAGCTAGAAACGGATTTCGGATGTGGTTAGGTAACTCATTTAGGCCTTAATTTCGGATTTTGGGCCTAATATAAAAATCCGTTTTCGGGCCGTTGCATAGTAATTGGCTTTCTGGCCTGAAAAAATAGCACCATTTGACCGTGTAAAAAGAACAACAAACAATCACTGTTCTTGTAAAAAGTGTTGATGTAAAATTATTTGTTGAAGCAATTGATGAATATAACTTATGTTCCAAAATCAAATTATTTTGACTTGTTGTCTTTGTTGAATAAAAAACAGTCATCACAGCACGTCAAATCTTTAATACGTTTGAATTAGACCGTAATCTAAATGCGTGATTAATCAAAGTTAAAACCATAATGTGGGACAAAATATCCACTGAACTATTTTCGGAATAGTTTCTCTAACACTACCCTCAACATTACAATATGCCGACTCTGATCACTCAGTGGTGCCCGGCTGCTTAAGAAGATATCTATATCCGGTTAATTACGTAACCTCATTTAGTTTAAAAAGTGTAAAAATCATACGTGACAAATTTTGATCGTGCATTAATATTTTCAATATTAATTTTCTATTTATAGTGATTTAATTTACATTTTCCAATGACTAGAGAAAAGTCTTGAAGATAAAGGGTGCAGTCAAGAGCGGATCCATGTTATAGGTGGGTGGGGCATGTGCCCCATACTACATCTATAAATAATATATATATATATAACACTAACAGTTTAATAACTCAGCTGATTTTGTCGCTAAAATGTTTTTTATATAAATCTAAATTTAATATGTTTCCATATTTTTTCTTTTCTAATTTTATTTATTTTTTTAGTTTTTATTGTAGCTTACTTATTATTCATAAAAGCTCAAATTTAATTTTTTTCCATGTTCTTTATTAATTTGTTTCCAAATTTTTTTTTATTTAGTTTTATATATTTTCAAAAATTATAATAATTTATGTTATAAATTTCAATATTTATAATATATTTTAATTAATTTAATTATATTAAATATTTATATATGTTAGTGTCCCATATATAATTATTTTCTGCGTCCGCGCCCGCCCCTGAGTGCAGTTCACAAATTTTCACAAAACAATTGATTAGTATCCCCACCAGTGTTTGACAACGAACAGTATCTCCACCACAACAAACTAATTATAGGAATATAATTGTTAATCCAAATTGTAACCATTAAAAATTACAAGAAATTAAGAATATGTTCTAATTGTACATATACAAACCATAAATCATATACTATTTATTAAGTCATGTTATGATTCTATTAGTCATTTTGATGTATAATAAATTAATAATACCCAATAACTTGTATTTAACTACGGACGGCATAACTATCCAAACATGAACCGGATCAAACCAGAACGTTTTTGATCCATCGCAGTATCTCTACATATCATGTAAAAGTCTAGTTTGAAGTACATATGCACTATAACAAAAAAAAAATCTCTAAATTTCGTGATAATAGTTTGCGTGACTAAATTATGGTCTCGAAAGTTTCTTGTCCCCAATTTCACTATAAATACATGCTCTTAAGCTCAAACATACTTCACACCAAAACCTCTTTTCTTCTAAATACTTTAAGAATAATTAAACCAAAGTGTGTTCGCGTAATCTAGCAAAAAAAAAAAAAACATGGGAAGATCCAAGTTTCTTCTTCTCATGGCTTTGTTCTTTACGTGCGTATCTCTCGCTAATTCAGCCCGGCCCCCTTTTCGAGCAAACCCTGGGAACAAATTAAGTATGGATATAGACATCTAGTTCATCTGTATACCCTCTCGTGATATCTATCAATATATAAAATATGTAGATCATCTTGGTTTTTGTATACATTTACATGGTCAGTTTAGTTACATCATCTATGTTCTCTTATACACATATTATACATATAAACAGCTGAAATGGTGAATCCCAACGGTGATATTGATGCAGATGCGAAAGAGCCGGAGCAATATGACTATGGTGGAGGATACGTCACAGGTCCGTGCAGGTACGGTTGCTGCTATAGGGGAGGAAAGAACTGCATCGGCTGCTGTCGTCACCTGAACACTAACAGAGTGGGGATGCAGAAACGCAGCCGCGGCCAAGTCACAGAGGAAGCTTCTCCAGTTTGGGCTCAGAGCCGACCCTGAAAAGGGAGCTAAACAATGGACATGTTACCATATAACGTATATGGCTACTTTAAGCACCTTGTTTTAATACAACAACTGGTACCATATATATATCGTAGATGGTAAGCGGAATAAAGTAAGTGGCCTTTTTATATATACGTCATAACAAGGCCTATATATAAAACTTTTGTAGTACAAATATTTATGCGTTTAACAATCCTAGAGAAAACTTTTGTAAACTGCAGATTTTATATATATGGTCTATATGGGATAAAATAACCATAGAATAAACTTCGTTTCCTGGTCAGAACAAAACTTTTTTTTTTTTTTTTTTTGAACTTTAGGTCATAACAAAACTTGTTTTTCTTTTAAATAAAAAACAATAATAGATCCAGATTCCAGAGTCGATAAATGATAACTCAACCGGATTGATTCCGGAGTCAGGTTTAGAGAACGTCAGGCCAAATCCTAAACTCGAAAACATAAAATAAAAACTATTTTGCATGCATGGTCTCTCATCGCGATCCGAAAAATGTATGTATTAATTATTAAAGTGTAACTTCTTGATTAAGAAAAAAAGAGATGGTAACTTGCAGAAAGCATTCGGTTTTCATTTGATACATAAAAAAAAAACAAATTTCGGAAAATGTAACGTATTTTTAAGATAATGATAACGACGTTACGTCGTTTTTGAACATTAGTGCAATGGCACTCAAAATTCTCCGATATGGGTCCAATTATGGACTTCTGTTCCCTTATCATCAGACTTTATCAATCCTCCTTAATATTTTGATCATGATGTCTTATGTCATATACAAAAAATCTTCTATACCATATCGAAACTACTTTGAAGTGTATGATTTTTCAAAAAAATTATCCGAGACCTTTACATCTGCTTTTCCTTTTAATAAAAATAATTTAATAAACTCATTTTTGGAAAATTTAGTCTTCACTTTTTGATATAAAAACCATGAAAACCCTTTTTTCCAAATCACCAACAACCAATTTTTGTTAAGTACAAAGTTGCATACACTAATACAATATCTAACATTTGCTTAACCCCAAGTTTTTCCAATCTTTGAAAATATGTAGAAAATCAAATACGTCTAAAGCTCGCTTAAGGGACTCAAACCCAAAAAAACACAGGCCCGAATCTGAATTAGTTCGTCGTTCCATACGTAATTAAACAACCAAAATATTGGAAATGTGTCTGGAAATTGTTCTGCAAAATTTGTGGGATTGAACATTTCCCTTAGCCCCACACTGGTGGTGTAGAATGGATTCTGCTTCAATCAATTCAATAAATGGGCCAAAACTTTACAATCAATCTTGTGGCCCATATTTGTCAAATGTGGGCCCATCTGTGAATTTGTAAGCCACGTATTCCCGAAGAGGTCCCTCTAAAATCGACCGTTTCTCCATTTGTAACCTTGTATTACTTTGCATGGCACATAATTGGTCAGGCTCCAATTATTTTCCCACTTTCTCTTCTTATCAATCAAATTATTAGTTTTATTCAAATCAAACTTAACGATTTTCCCACGTACTGTTTCTAACATGTTTCTCCAAGTGAAAATTACATGGAATACAATTATACAAGAAACAACTGTACGTGTAGATGATATATAAATATAATAAACTATATTTAAGATTCCTGACTTAAAAAAGAAAAGAAAAAAGAGAGCTACTTTATTTTGTTTTTACTTAAAAAAAAAAGATAAAGCTATTCTATTGTTTTTTTTTTTGTCAAGAACATAACCAAGCAGGATCTGAACTTTGCTTTCGAAGTTGAAACCATATCCCCATCTTCCATATTCTATCTATGCATGCAGGATTAAAAGAATCGTATGATGTGGGGGATAAGACAATGCCCCTAACATGGTTTCAAATTTATAATTTGAGAGAGAACAATTTATATATTTTTATATAGACACTCATAAAATGCCACATCATCAGTTCCTCCGATTAGATAGAGACATATTAGAGAGGATAGGGTAGAAACTAGAAACGGATATAATAGAGAAGGGTATGACCGTAATTTCACACCTCTTTTATGGGTCATTCTTTGTAGATTCTCCGCACACGCATCTTTCTCGTCTCCTTTTTAATCGCATTTATAATCCCGAGAAGGCGAGGAGAACGGAACAACGATCAGAGAGATAGAGAGAGAGAGAGCTATGGCGTTACGAAGCAGGAGGTTAGCGACACTTCTCCCCTCCATTTCCGGCAGCTCTCGGGCCTGCAATTCCGGTGGGGTTCATCAGGGCTCGTATCGGATCGCGAGAACCGGTGCATTGCTCAGCCGCTGGATCTCCTCTGCTTCGTCATCTGCGGCTGTTGTGGCGGAGGATGAATCTGGAGGGATTTACGGATTGGGAAGTGTATTGAAGGAGTACGAAGATTACAGGAGATCTCTCTACGGTGAGTTCACGCACAAGGCGTTGCTCGTCGATGCCGTTGGTACTCTCCTTGTTCCCGCTCAACCCACGGCTCAGGTCTGTCAATTTTTCTTCTTTCTTATGACTTAACGATTGCACAAATGCTTCGCGTGATTTCTATCTCTCTCGGCGATTGGAAAATCTACGGAAAACTCTTGTCTGTTTATTGAATTGAAGTTTGATCCTGAATACGTTTAATCAATTGAAAGCGATAGTTTGAATTTTGTTAATGTTTGGGAACTCGAGATGCTTAATTTCTGTGTTATGATCTCTGCTTGTCTCTAGAATCTTAAAATGGAAGATTTCAATCTGCAAATTCTAAGTTGTATTATGAATTCTGATTGTGTAGATATACAAGAATATTGGAGAGAAGTACGGAGTTGAGTACTCGGAGGCTGAGATACTGACCAGATACAGAAGAGCTTATCAGAAGCCGTGGGGCGGATCTCATCTCAGGTATCACCATCTTCTCCTTCGTGTGTTTCTTCCACTCCAAGAAAAAATATCACTAGGCAAAATGTTCCTATGTGGTTTTTCATTTGTTTGAATTCCAGATTTTACATAGTGTTAGTGCATTATGTACCAAATCAAATTGTTGTCTTCTGAAGGAGTTTGCTTGCGAGTGATAACTGATAACCGTGTGTGATGTTCTTAAATTTGACTACTTTGTTTGCAGATATGTAGATGACGCGAGACCTTTCTGGCAATATATAGTGACTGCATCAACAGGCTGTTCAGATTCTCAGTACTTTGAAGAGCTTTACAGCTATTTTACCACAGAACAGGTATGATCTCAGCTGCTATTTCTCCATACGCTTGAGGAACATTTTTAAAGTTTGTTTCTTTCTCTTGATTATTTTTATCCATTTGCTATACCTTTAGGCGTGGAAGCTATGTGATCCAGAGGCAGAGAAAGTGTTCAAGGCTATTAAAAAAGCGGGTGTAAAAGTTGCCATTGTGTCCAACTTCGACACTCGATTAAGACCTCTCCTACGAGCACTGAGATGTGAAAACTGGTTTGATGCGGTGGCTGTTTCAGCAGAAGTAACATATCCTCTTTTTTCCTTTTATATATTTTGGTTGATGACGTGAAACGTTTTGGGAGTGAGTGTGTGTATTAAAGGTTTTTTGGTTGATTGTTTCGCAGGTTGAAGCGGAGAAACCAAACCCGACCATCTTCTTGAAAGCTTGTGAGTTGTTAGGAGTGAATCCTGAGGATGCGGTTCATGTAGGAGATGACCGTAGGAATGATGTGTGGGGCGCTAGAGACGCAGGATGTGACGCTTGGCTCTGGGGAAGTGAAGTTACTTCATTTAAACAGGTATACGAATCTCTCTGGTTTCCTCAAATCTCTCAAATAGTTTAAAATCAATGGTCTAACCGAAATTGAATGTGTGTTTTTATTTTCTGCTCTGCAGGTTGCTCAACGGATAGGAGTGAAGGTTTGAAGCAGAGCAAATGAGAGAAATGGTTCAGTCTTCAGACATGTTCAGGCTTCAGTTTTAGCTCTCTTTTTTTTATGAGCTGTTTTGTACATTTGATTTCTCCTTTTGTAGTATAATGTGTGTGATATATATGTTGCCGCTTATGTATAAAAGCAGAAAATAATAAATCTTCAGGATCGTTGTTGATCCGAACAGAAGTCTAGTGTTTATAATAAAAAGTTACATACTTGAACCTCGACAATGTATGAAGTATTATAAAAAACTTGTAATCACATTGGGATGATTAGTTTCAAATTATTTTCATTTTCAGGTATCTCTATACAAAAACATTCTAATCAACTTCAACAATCGGTTAAGACCTCAATTACGCGCACTAATATGTGAATACTGGTTTGATGCTGTCTGAGCAGAAATAACAAACGTCTTTTTGGTTGATTGTTTCTCAGAAGTCATATAATCTACCGGTCCTACACAGTTAAATAATAATCTTGTGGCCCATCATAATTAATTAAACCTATTTAGGTCTTTGGATTTAAATGGCCCAATTAAAACCAGTGACGACTAAAAAATCCCAAATACCCTATCAAGTATTTTGAGTGTGTTCCTCGTCCACGACTAGAATTAAGGCCTTTTTGGCATAACCGAACGAGATGACCGGAGTTGACCTTTATACCTTATTTGTATGATTGCAGATGTTAACATACGTTAGCACACTACACTATTGAAATTTTTTGTTGATAAATTTAAAATAAGGAATCTGCTACATTTGTTAAATATAAACACGAAATGCTTATGTACATGCTAACTGGTTGTAGATATGCTTGGAATCAGGAGAAAAGCCTCAACATATTCCACATGATTCGCACGTGCCTCTCAACACCAAACCCGTGTATCCCTCATACCTCTCAGCGTTTTGTCTCTTTTCTTCCAGCTGTGCATTATATTAATATATTATATACAAATTACTAACTACATAACATCTCATAAAAGAGTTGTATAATAACATGCATGTACCTCTTCTCTAGGTCAACAGGTGATCCTTGGAACATGCTCTTGCTTGGGGAGAAAATGCTCAACCACGTGTCAACGCATGTCCACTCGTGACCCATATATTTCGCCCTATAGTATTAATTATAATTTATAACACATTAGATATGCTTTTATTTCTGCAACAGAGAGGTATTTCTTTATTTTTATTTTTTAGTATCCATCCATGTCTATATATATGAATATAAATGAGTGGGACATAAATGATCCAACTAACTCACCAGCACAATCCTAACCGAAACAGGAGTCTTTAACAGTGTAAATTACCCAAAATGTGTGCACTTGTCCCTCCATTGTTTCCAAATTTCGGGTGGCCTTGCGGAGATCATAGCTTATATGAAAACGACGACTTAGCCAATACGTTTGTTGATTTTCCGTTGCCGGAGTTGGAGGTGGCTCATCAGAATGTGTCGTCGGAGAGAAATAGCGTATACGAGTTAAAGAATCCCGTTGTGATGAAGAAGCTTAATCACAATGCGAGTGAGCGTGATCGTCGCAAAAAGATCAACGCAATGTTCTCATCACTTCGTTCTTGTCTTCCGGCCACCGATCAATCGGTAACCATTCAATTTGAATATGATTATTTGTTTACTTTCAAAATTTTGAAAAAAATGTGCATTGAAATATACTAGTTGAACATTCAACAGAAAAAGAAAGAGAAAAAACGTTGTTAGGGTTTTCTTATCGAATGTCTTCTTGCAAACCAGTGAGATGCTGTGTTTTTAAAAGAAGCCGAGAAAAAAGAAAACAATCGGCACATAGTAATATTCTTTTTGTGTGTATTTCTTGTAGAAGAAGTTAAGCGTTTCCGCAACAGTTTCACAGGCATTGAAGTACATACCAGAACTGCAAGAGAAAGTTAAGAAGCTCATAAAGAAAAAAGAAGAACTCTCGTTCCAAATCTCGGGCCAAAGAAATCTCATTAACACCGACCAAAACGGTAAGCCAGAGAAAGGGGTCACAAGTTATGCATCGACAGTTTCTACTACTAGGCTCGGTGAGACTGAAGTAATGGTCCAAATTTCATCATTAAAGACTGAGAAGTGTTCGTTTGGGAATGTGTTAAGTGGCGTAGAAGAAGATGGGTTGGTTCTTGTGGATGCTTCATCTTCAAAGTCTCAAGGAGAGAGACTCTTTTACACTTTGCATCTTCACCTGGATAATTGCAAGCTGAATTGCGAAGAGTTAAGTGATAGGCTGTTGTATTTGTACGAGAAATGTGGAAACTCGTTTACATGATCCAGTAATTAACGTTATTTTTTCTGTTACTCCCTTTAAAACTCGAGGTTCTGTAGAAACAGTATGTACCTTCTGCCTAAGCAAAGGAGGTTTTGTTTTGTATAAAAAGTTAAATTTTGTCAAAATAAACGTTTGTTATAGAGTTTATTAGCAGATGTGTTCTGTGCAATCCGTAGCAAACTCCAAACCAAATGCTCCACTTAGTTTGGATTGTTAAATCAAATGCTTCTCTTGCACTAGTTATAATTAAAGTTTGTCCTGGCGATTTATGAGCTAAGATTTATTAAGATATACATGTTATATGTAATCAATGGTTATCCGTAGATCTCGACATCTTGTACGTAAATTATATATCATGAAATGAGACGTCGATCACCAGCACTATAATATTAACCCAAAAATGGTTATCTGAAACAAATTTTGTAACTTTTTAGTTTTTTTTTTTTTGTGCGAATAACTTTTTAGTTTTCAAGTTTTCCTATTTATATGGAAATCATACAGTTTATTGAAAATGAAACACTGTTAGAAGACCATTATACTCTTTTACAATCGATAGTAATAGTAGTTCAGAACCTGGTCTATAGGGACTAAGCTTAGGTGACTGATCAAATTTGGGCCTTAATTGGAAAATTTTGGCTCAGTTTCTTTCATGATTAATTAAGGTTATGCGCAGAAACGTTGTTCAAATCTATAATTTAATTTTTATATTGTTTTGTACCATCTTAAAAATTTAACGTGATTGAATATATACATTATGTAGTATTGTAAGTTGTAACTAATGTGTGACGTACGATGTTTGCTGTTAAAGAAAAAAACAAAAAATTAGTATCGAAATGATTAAATATTTAAGTCTTTCTTTTTAATGTATCTTACCATTGATAAGGGAATAACTTTTCTGGATCGACTGCATCAACGAAGCTGTAAAGCCTACCAAGTTGGGAATGAAATGAGCAAATAAAAAAATGAACCTACTTAAAATAGATAGAGTTTGAAAATAACCAATTGGTCAAATAATAATAATACCACGGAAAGCATATAAAATAGTGCAGTTAGGTGCAATGCATTCTCTAAATTCAAATGTATCAGGAATGAAAAAAAAAATAAATTTCTTTTAACAGGCTCGACCCAACTTGCTTTAAATCAAAAGCGCACTATTTTCTTAAAGATAATTACATTTTTATATCGAATAAACGTATTACTGAAATATTACAACAATATTACGAGATAACTTTGGTCGTGTTTGTGTTTTTAGGTGATAAAACACAAGCGATACACAATTGATTTTGCAAGCGATGTATATATGTATCATGTATCATGTATGATGATGTTACTGTATATGTTTTGACTACTTCAAAGGTCAAACAAATGAAAAGGGTTGGTGTTTTTTTTTTGTCAACCATATGACTAGTTATGAGTTATGACTAATATTAATGACATTTTTATCAATACACTAATGTAGTTGTACAACTTGTACAGTTCCATCCATTTATTTAGTCTGTTCATTTGAGTCTCATTAATATCTTCTGCCCAACCTGAGAATCCTTTTTTTTTTACTGCATAATTCATTATCATTTAATTTTTTATTAAATTCTACTCCTATAAGTTTTTCTTGTTTTTACTGTAAGTAAGTTTGTGATTTTCTCGACAAAAGGGAGAATTTAGACAAAAGACCTCATTGGGAACTACAAAAACAATGTACAGAAAGGTACATCAATCAGCATCCGGTTACCGTCATCTTACCTATAACATCTATCTAAAGCTAGGAATGTTCATGCATCTACCTTTTCTCGTTGCTTGCAGTAAAGTATTTGTTTCGATTTTATTCTTTCTTCTAGAACTTTCGATGCAAATAATAACCAAGTCATTTGATTAAACAAAAATAAAACAAATTAATTAAATATAATTAAAATTTCACCTGTTGCAAATTAATTATTACAATGTAATTTTTTTAAAAAGAAAAGATCTGGTTTTTATTAGCTACGACTTTTTTTAGCTACCTCGATTACATACAACGGAAAACATTATACTAATATTTAGCATACCATATATTTACATACTACAACTTTTCAAATAATGACTCATCTAATTATTTTAAATTAACCATTTGTATTTTGTAAGGCGATAATTAGATATTTGTTGTTAATTTTCCACTGGCCATGTATTAAAAAAATGAAAAACGATAAATTACATTTAAACAACACCTAGAAAAAATTAGAAATAGAAAGAGTTAACACAATCATGGTTGAAGCAACAAACACGAAAGAGAGTAATAGGAACAAGGCAGGAGAGTGAAATTAGTTGATTATTTGAATGAGGACATATAATCACAGCTGTGACCTGAAACCGGCCACTTTGGAATTACCCTTTTACGCACATTTCTTGACATGCATTTATTTCCCTCTAATGGAAAATCATAAACTTCTTAATTAATTAGTTTTAACTTTTCGGGTGGGTTATATTATATAGAGTATATTAACTTTTTATAGTATATTGGTAAATTGGCTATTTGCACACACATACACAAAAGAAGGTAAATTGGTACATACAATCATCGACAAAGGTAAAAAAAAAAGTATACTACCACAACCACACGTCAAAACTAGATGAAACTATTACAGTAGTACTACATACTTTTTGTCAACAAATCATAAATACCAGAACAACTAAATAAAAACACATAAAAAACAAACTAATTTGGTAAAAGATGTGGAGATAGTAATTATATATGGATGTAAAAAATATACAGGATATACGAACATATATGTATATATATAGACATAGATACTACAACTTTCCCAATTGCCCACTATATAAGTAGCTGAGACAAAGGCAGAAGGATCTAAGACATTCAAAAAAAAAAAAAAAAAAAATTGTTTGATAAATTTAAATACTAATGGAAAATGAAGGTATATAATCAACAGCTGAGATTTGAGGTCACACACAAGCCAATGGGTTTGAGCGGAAGTTCTTTGATCACGGCGAGATCCGTCGCAGTTCTTCTCTTTTTCTCTCTGCTTCTTCTGATTCTGCCACCGTTCCTTCCGACGCTTCCACCGCCTCCGGCGACGCTCCTCCTCCTCCCTCTCATCCTCATGATTCTCCTCGTTTTCTTGGCTTTTTCTCCATCTAATGAGCCTAGCCTCTCTGTAGAATCTCTCGACCCCTGATGTCGCCGACTTGCGCAGCGTCCGTACACACACATATATATATGTCTGTGCGTTACACAAATATGTATAAGTGTGTCCATATATGTGTATGTAAGCAAATTAAGGGCTCTTTAGTTTCGTGCAAGTAAGATCATCTCATGTGATAGATCTCCGAGTTTTCTCTTTGAAGGATTTCGTATAAAATTAGCTTTTACTTACCTTTCTCTGATTTTTTTCTATGTTTCAATTCCTGTTTGTTGTTGTTCTGTCTTAAATTGTAGAAGAATCTTGTTTATCAGCGCCAGACTATGAATTGTAGAAGAATAGTTTTGAATTTAAATTGAAGCCTTCTTGTTAATATATGTGTATGTGCATGTATATGTTTATTTTATCACTATTTCTTTCTTTTCTCTCAACTCAACGTCTATTTATCTAGCAAAAAGGTAAAACTCAACGTCTATTTCTGTTTTGTTATCAGAACACTTTATCGGGAAATAAAATATTGAGAAATTTTCAATTTACCGAGTGATGTATGTGTAATTCGGTGTCTAGATTTCAGTTTGGGTTCAAATTTTCCATCTTCAAAATCATAATATTACGAACCAAAATTGGTCAAAACCTTTTTTAATTATTAGACCTGGACCAATATAAGATAATACCGGTAAAAATTTAATAAGTTACTACTACAGTACTACGTGATCACTGCAAGTTTGCAATACCACTATTTGGTACTAGTTATCAACGAAATTGGCCATGGTTTTTACTTTTTACTTACCTGTTTATCTTTTTTTAAGTGGTTTAGTGTGGAGCCCACATATGTTAATCATGCATTGGAAAACTGAGAATCGTCCTTTGATGTCCGGGAGACAGACTAAAACGGATGTGCCATCTGTTTACTAGTCCTCGACACCCAATTAGATTCTTTTAATATGGTCAAAAGTGATTTCGGATTTTATGGTCTTTCTTTGATTTTTTTTTTTGTCTTCTGTTTTTTAGATCTTTCTCTCTTTGAAAATACATGCTCGTCTCTCTTTGAAAAATACATGCTCGTCTCTCTTTGAAAAATACATGCTAGTGTTTTAATCAATTACCCTTTTCGTTTTACAATGAGTGTCTTTTTTTTTTCTTTCACAAATAATAATGTAAGAAAGACAATATTACTATATTATAAATTTATAAAACACCACTTAAAAACAAAATAGTAAACTATTTTAAATATACTAATAATATATTAGATGTTATACTACAAAAAAATTATAAAACATTTGGAAAAACGACGGAGTATGGTTCTTTTCAAGTTATAATTTTTTTCTGAAAGTTTAATTTTAAATAAGACGATGAAGAATATATGATATATATATATATATATACCGAATAATCTGTATAGAATTGTCTTGCTACTGACTTGGGGGTGATTTGGAACACTTTCCTAATTGATGCCAAACAATTGGTAACTGTTATCCCTTCGATATACCTATCAGGCAAAAATAAAATATAAACATACACAATTGTGCTGTATCATTTTATTTTATGCCATGTTTTGCGGAGTGAAGGACAACACTATATAGAAAAGTTGTATTTCACTTGTACGTAGGCAAGGCGGCTAGCGAGTGAAAGAGTCGTAAACTCATGATTGTTTGAAAGAATATGTGAGTTATATAATGTTTCAAAACAAAGTATATATGTGAAGTTAGTATAAAAATAGGTCGGGGATGGGCATTATCGACGGTCTAATGATATAACACAAAGATACAAAAAGTAAATATGTTAATTTCAACAGAGTGATGGTTGATTATCAGTTTATCATAATGATCATCTAGCATGCATCTATTCACACACTACGTTCCAATACAA